ACAAAGTCGCGGGCAACAGCTAGTAATAAATATTTAGGTGATAACGTATTCATATTTTCAGTACTTTGACCTTGTAGGCGAGGTCAATAATAATATTCTGTACAAATTGAATTACCAAGTGAAAAAGTAATGCAAATGAATTCGCTTCAGACTAAATTCCATTACATGCATAAAATTGTTTGATTTCTGTTAAATTATAAAAAAAACAACGTTCCGGACGAATTCAGTCAAGACGTTAACGAACCTACAATGAAGCTATTTCTCGTATTATTTTGTAAGCTATATAAATATTTTCTATAGTATGATATTATGTTTTTTTTTTATAACATAAGGTGGCAAACGAGCAAGCGGCTACCTGAATCCGCCAAAATGGCGAAGCGACCGCTGCCCATAGACATCCGCAATTGCAGATGCGTTGCCTACCCTTATACGACGGAGGAGGAGACGCATATAAAGAGGATATTTCCCCTTCCTATGCATCTCCTCCACCGTCAAATCCACTTCCTCTTCCCATCCTCTCCTTATAAGAAAAGGGTGGTGAAGAGAAAGGGACTTAAATTAGGCCTTCGGCACTACATTCATCAGACGAAACACGGAATTGCTTCCATTTCACGCCTGTCTTCTGTGTGGTCGTGGTATTACACCGGGCGTGCCGGCCCATTCGTGCTAAGATGGTAAAGCGGGCACTACCACTGTTATTATGTGTACAATTGCACGCCTTTGACTAAACTATCGCACAACTGTCAATTGTTTCGCAGCCAATTCAACTGTTTAGTTGCACAAGTAAAAAGCGAGTAGTGTGTGCACCTCCATATAAGCTCATAGAAATCAAGGCGGGATTAAAAAGTTGTGATAGTGGATATATAGTTGTGTTGGGTACTGGCTACCTGACATATAAAAGTTAGCATATTTTGAGACATCTACATGACTGTAAGTTGACGTAAGATCGAAGGGGAGGTGATACGAATTTGACAGAGACACGTGACATCTCATACGATCTCATTGAAATTGTACATCTATAATCTATACTATTATAATAAAGTGTAAACACACACTTCTTTGTTGCCTAAGATCTCAGCTATTGCAGCATATTTTTGAATAATTCTTTTTTTACTAAAAAGCCTTACAATTACGTCACGCTTTATGCTATATATTTTCACGCCATTAAACTTAGGGGCATAAATTTTGGATAAAAACCCTAATGTGGGAAAGAGACCATAAGTTGCTGCCTATACCAAGGAAGCAAGATTCCACGGTACGATAATTGGTATCTAATATCAAAGGCATAATTGACAAATGTAAAAAATAAAGTAAAGTTTTTATAGTTTCATGCGGATGAAGCCACACGAGAACAGCTAGTATATTTATAAGCACTCTTGTTTGTACAGGAATGTGAATATATATGTTCTTCGTTGCTTTGACCAGCTGTTATTCAATCAGTCTTTCCGTCTTCCCTGCGCGGAGGAGCTTTGTAAAAGAATGAGTGTAGGTTATCAAGTACTTTACAGCTACGAAGACTGCAGTTACATTTGCGCACAAAATGCCCTCAATAGAGCTGGTTTGTTGCATGAAGAAAGATGCAAACAACCAATTTCAGAATGAGCTAATAAAGTCTTTAATAGTGTTTGATTTGTTTGTCCTATCATATTGAAAGAATGAATGTTGAACGCAAACTCTGTATTTAAGTACGTGCAGCCAATGTTGATCAATAACCATCTATGATCGACTAGCTTTCGCTCGCGACTCCATTCGCGCGGTATTAAAAAAACAACCAAGTAGCTTATGTGTTCTTCCAGAGTATACTCTACATGTTTGCCAAATTTCATCGAGATCCGTTCGGCCGTTTAGGCTACAAAATCTAACAAACATCCATCCATCTAAACTTTCACATTTATAATAATAGTAAAAAGTAAGATTACTGATTTAATTATCTGTTCCACCTTAAAAGTTACAATCGTTTGAACATTTTGAAACGAGATGCGGAACAAAAATCAATAGAAATTAATCAATTTCAAATGTCATCATCATCTTCTCTTCTTTATCCTACTCCCGTAAGGCTCACCGAATTGTCCTGCACATAACTCTATCATCTGTCATTACAGTCATCATTCCCTTCTTGATCATGTCACTTTTTACGAAATCCATCCATCTCCTTCTATGTTTACTTCTACCGGTGTACCCCTCCACGTTCATAACTGAATAGCTTTCAAATGTCTACGACACAAAGTAGCTTAGTGATACCAGGCTATTTTTTTATTATTATCCCGCCGTTAGCACTCACTGTTATCTAATTTAGTTACTTGTAGAAGGCGGAGATTGTCTCGTTGTTTTTTCTAAAGTGGAACAGCGCGGATTTCCGAGACAGCTCACATACAAGAGATTGAGAGGAAAAAGCCATCGGTGTTATTGCTCTGACATTAATTTAAATTATACTCTCTACTGTCTCGTACTATTAAAAGACATAATCCTACTAATGTGATAAATGCAAAAGTTTAGATAGATGTTTGTTAGAGTTTACACCCTAAACGGCGGAACGGATCATGATGAAATTCCGCAGAGATGTAGCATCGGGAACAACATAGGCTACTTACATTTTTTTTAATTCCACGCAGACGGAGTCGCCGGCGAAAGCTAATATTGTTTAATTGGTAATTTTAAAGGTATAATCTAGTTTCATAATAAACCAAAAGTGAATTATGCAGTATGAGGATAAACTTTACAAGTTTAAAGACGCTAAATACTACATCCAAGCAAAAAAACAAATACAAAACCAAGCAATTACTTTCAAAGTGTTTTATTATTCCCGTATTACACAATACTACAAGTTACAACATTAACTTAATATTAAACTGGCATGTTATTTATTACTTTACTGTTTATAATTTAACGCCATTCGTCTCGTAGTTTGAAAAAATAACGACAGAAATATAACAGTATTTAGAAGGAACAATTGAGTTAAGTCATCGAAGGAAATCACAAATGATTCGAAAATTTAATATGAAAATTTTATTTGTATTATTATGTAAGTGAAATACTACTGAAGTAAATAATTATTAACTACAGTATTTATTTATTTTTGTTTATAATATGATATGCGCAAGCAAATACCTCAAACAGAAGCTGTTCTGCTTCACGAAGGCAAATGCAAACTAGACTATTACCTTTATACAAGACAATAAGACAAATTATACTCTAGTTAGTGTTTTGTTTCATTTAATTATATATCTGTTCTTATTTTTTTATATTATAAGGTGATAAACGACCAAGCGGCCAAATGACATCGTCGATATAGCGACTGCTGCCCATAGACATCCGCAATTGCAGATGCATTACCAAAGTATGAGTTTATAAGGCCCTTAGTGTTAATTTTTTCTACATTTAATTTCAATCTTATGGCAAAATCAAGTATAGAAAGGAAATTAAAATTCCCTATATAGAGAAATGTGAACTAACTATAGCTGTACAGTTTTGTAAAAAAGTTCACCTGAAATATTTTAAAACGAGTTTAACCGGCACATCATCATATGGTGAAATCATTTCAAGTTTGAACTAGCTTTCGCCTGCGACTTCGTCCGTGTTGTAAAAAATCAAAACTAAGTAGCCTATGTGTTTTTCCAGATTATCCTTTACATGTATACCAAATTTATCTAGATCCGTTTAGCAGTTTAGGCAACAAACTCTAACAAACATCCATACATCTAAACTTTCGCATTTATAATATTAGTAAGAAGTAAGATTATAAGTATTTTTAAATTCACAGTTTCAATCGTTATAACCTTTGCGATGCCATGGACAAAAGCGCCCGAGTTTGCTTGCAGTTGCCCACCGAGCAAACCAGTTTGTGCCAGCAATCTGCTGGCGTACGACGGTGTTTGTAACGTGATATGCGCAAGCAAACACCTCAAACAAAAGCTGTTTGTGCTTCACGAAGGCAAATGCAAACTAAATTATAAACTTTATACAAGACAATAAGACTAATTATACTCTAGGTAGTGTTTTGTTTCATTTGATTATATCCTTGTCCTTATTCCTTTTTTTTATAAGGTGACAAACAACCAAGCGGCCAACTGAATTCGTCTAAATGGCCACTACTGCCCATAGACATCCGCAATTGCAGATGCGTTACCCTTAATAGACGGAAGAGGCGCAATTTACCCTTCCTACGCGTCTCCACCATCAAATCCTTTCCTTCCCATACTTTCATCTTAAGAAAGAGGTGGAAAGGATAAGAGACTAGATTAGGCCTCCTGCATCCACTACACTATATAGTATTGTCACTTTTAGGCATTATTCTTGAGGCGGGAATACACATCCTAGTAACAAATACACTAGAAAAATTACTAACACGCGCCAACAACA